CACCAAAAACACCGCTTAAGCTTGGCTCCGCGTCCCACCAACAACACTGCTTGAGCCTAGCTCCGCGTCCCACCAACAACACTGCTTCAGCCTAGCTCCGCGTCCCACCAACAACACCGCTTCAGCCTAGCTCCGCGTCCCACCAACAGCACCGCTTCAGGTTAGCTCCGCGTACCACCAAAAACACCGCTTCAGCCTAGCTCCGCGTACCACCAAAAACACCGCTTAAGCTTGGCTCCGCGTCCCACCAACGACACCGCTTCAGCCTAGCTCCGCGTCCCACCAACGACGCCGCTTCAGACTAGCTCCGCGTCCCACCGACAACACCGCTTCAGCCTAGCTCCGCGTCCCACCAACAACACCGCTTAAGCTTGGCTCCGCGTCCCACCAACAACACCGCTTCAGCCTAGCTCCGCGTACCACCAAAAACACCGCTTAAGCTTGGCTCCGCGTCCCACCAACAACACCGCTTCAGCCTAGCTCCGCGTACCACCAAAAACACCGCTTAAGCTTGGCTCCGCGTCCCACCAACACCGTTTCAGCCTAGCTCCGCGTACCACCAAAAACACCGCTTAAGCTTGGCTCCGCGTCCCACCAACAACACCGCTTCAGCCTAGCTCCGCGTCCCACCAACAACACCGCTTCAGCCTAGCTGCGCGTACCACCAAAAGCACCGCTTAAGCTTGGCTCCGCGTCCCACCAACAACATCGCTTCAGCCTAGCTCCGCGTACCACCAAAAACACCGCTTAAGCTTGGCTCCGCGTCCCATCAACAACACCGTTTCAGCCTAGCTCCGCGTACCACCAAAAACACCGCTTAAGCTTGGCTCCGCGTCCCACCAAGGACACCGCTTCAGCCTAGCTCCGCGTCCCACCAACGACACCGCTTCAGACTAGCTCCGCGTCCCACCAACAACACCGCTTCAGCCTAGCTCCGCGTCCCACCAACAACACCGCTTAAGCTTGGCTCCGCGTCCCACCAACAACACCGCTTCAGCCTAGCTCCGCGTACCACCAAAAACACCACTTAAGCTTGGCTCCGCGTCCCACCAACAACACCGCTTCAGCCTAGCTCCGCGTACCACCAAAAACACCGCTTAAGCTTGGCTCCGCGTCCCACCAACACCGTTTCAGCCTAGCTCCGCGTACCACCAAAAACACCGCTTAAGCTTGGCTCCGCGTCCCACCAACAACACCGCTTCAGCCTAGCTCCGCGTCCCACCAACAACACCGCTTCAGCCTAGCTCCGCGTCCCACCAACAACACCGCTTCAGCCTAGCTCCGCGTCCCACCAACAACACCGCTTAAGCCTAGCTCCGCGTCCCACCAACAACACCGCTTCAGCCTAACTTCGCGTCCCACCAACAACACCGCTTCAGCCTAGCTCCGCGTACCACCAAAAACACCGCTTAAGCTTGGCTCCGCGTCCCACCAACAACACTGCTTCAGCCTAGCTCCGCGTACCACCAACAACACTGCTTCAGCCTAGCTCCGCGTCCCACCAACAACACCGCTTCAGCCTAGCTCCGCGTCCCACCAACAGCACCGCTTCAGGTTAGCTCCGCGTACCACCAAAAACACCGCTTAAGCTTGGCTCCGCGTCCCACCAACAACACCGCTTCAGCGTAGCTCCGCGTCCCACCAACAACACTGCTTCAGCCTAGCTCCGCGTCCCACCAACAACACCGCTTCAGCCTAGCTCCGCGTCCCACCAACAGCACCGCTTCAGGTTAGCTCCGCGTACCACCAAAAACACCGCTTAAGCTTGGCTCCGCGTCCCACCAACAACACCGCTTCAGCGTAGCTCCGCGTCCCACCAACAACACTGCTTCAGCCTAGCTCCGCGTCCCACCAACAACACCGCTTCAGCCTAGCTCCGCGTCCCACCAACAACACCGTTTCAGCCTAGCTCCGCGTCCCACCAACAACACCGCTTAAGCCTAGCTCCGCGTCCCACCAACAACACCGCTTCAGCCTAGCTTCGCGTCCCACCAACAACACCGCTTCAGCCTAGCTCCGCGTACCACCAAAAACACCGCTTAAGCTTGGCTCCGCGTCCCACCAACAACACTGCTTCAGCCTAGCTCCGCGTCCCACCAACAACACTGCTTCAGCCTAGCTCCGCGTCCCACCAACAACACCGCTTCAGCCTAGCTCCGCGTCCCACCAACAGCACCGCTTCAGGTTAGCTCCGCGTACCACCAAAAACACCGCTTAAGCTTGGCTCCGCGTCCCACCAACAACACCGCTTCAGCGTAGCTCCGCGTCCCACCAACAACACTGCTTCAGCCTAGCTCCGCGTCCCACCAACAACACCGCTTCAGCCTAGCTCCGCGTCCCACCAACAGCACCGCTTCAGGTTAGCTCCGCGTACCACCAAAAACACCGCTTAAGCTTGGCTCCGCGTCCCACCAACAACACCGCTTCAGCGTAGCTCCGCGTCCCACCAACAACACTGCTTCAGCCTAGCTCCGCGTCCCACCAACAACACCGCTTCAGCGTAGCTCCGCGTCCCACCAACAACACTGCTTCAGCCTAGCTCCGCGTCCCACCAACAACACCGCTTCAGCCTAGCTCCGCGTCCCACCAACAACACCGTTTCAGCCTAGCTCCGCGTCCCACCAACAACACCGCTTAAGCCTAGCTCCGCGTCCCACCAACAACACCGCTTCAGCCTAGCTTCGCGTCCCACCAACAACACCGCTTCAGCCTAGCTCCGCGTACCACCAAAAACACCGCTTAAGCTTGGCTCCGCGTCCCACCAACAACACTGCTTCAGCCTAGCTCCGCGTCCCACCAACAACACTGCTTCAGCCTAGCTCCGCGTCCCACCAACAACACCGCTTCAGCCTAGCTCCGCGTCCCACCAACAGCACCGCTTCAGGTTAGCTCCGCGTACCACCAAAAACACCGCTTAAGCTTGGCTCCGCGTCCCACCAACAACACCGCTTCAGCGTAGCTCCGCGTCCCACCAACAACACTGCTTCAGCCTAGCTCCGCGTCCCACCAACAACACCGCTTCAGCCTAGCTCCGCGTCCCACCAACAGCACCGCTTCAGGTTAGCTCCGCGTACCACCAAAAACACCGCTTCAGCCTAGCTCCGCGTACCACCAAAAACACCGCTTAAGCTTGGCTCCGCGTCCCACCAACAACACCGCTTCAGCGTAGCTCCGCGTCCCACCAACAACACTGCTTCAGCCTAGCTCCGCGTCCCACCAACAACACCGCTTCAGCCTAGCTCCGCGTCCCACCAACAACACCGCTTCAGCCTAGCTTCGCGTCCCACCAACAACACCGCTTCAGCCTAGCTCCGCGTACCACCAAAAACACCGCTTAAGCTTGGCTCCGCGTCCCACCAACAACACTGCTTGAGCCTAGCTCCGCGTCCCACCAACAACACTGCTTCAGCCTAGCTCCGCGTCCCACCAACAACACCGCTTCAGCCTAGCTCCGCGTCCCACCAACAGCACCGCTTCAGGTTAGCTCCGCGTACCACCAAAAACACCGCTTAAGCTTGGCTCCGCGTCCCACCAACAACACCGCTTCAGCGTAGCTCCGCGTCCCACCAACAACACTGCTTCAGCCTAGCTCCGCGTCCCACCAACAACACCGCTTCAGCCTAGCTCCGCGTCCCACCAACAGCACCGCTTCAGGTTAGCTCCGCGTACCACCAAAAACACCGCTTAAGCTTGGCTCCGCGTCCCACCAACAACACCGCTTCAGCGTAGCTCCGCGTCCCACCAACAACACTGCTTCAGCCTAGCTCCGCGTCCCACCAACAACACCGCTTCAGCGTAGCTCCGCGTCCCACCAACAACACTGCTTCAGCCTAGCTCCGCGTCCCACCAACAACACCGCTTCAGCCTAGCTCCGCGTCCCACCAACAACACCGTTTCAGCCTAGCTCCGCGTCCCACCAACAACACCGCTTAAGCCTAGCTCCGCGTCCCACCAACAACACCGCTTCAGCCTAGCTTCGCGTCCCACCAACAACACCGGTTCAGCCTAGCTCCGCGTACCACCAAAAACACCGCTTAAGCTTGGCTCCGCGTCCCACCAACAACACCGCTTCAGCGTAGCTCCGCGTCCCACCATCAACACTGCTTCAGCCTAGCTCCGCGTCCCACCAACAACACCGCTTCAGCCTAGCTCCGCGTCCCACCAACAGCACCGCTTCAGGTTAGCTCCGCGTACCACCAAAAACACCGCTTAAGCTTGGCTCCGCGTCCCACCAACAACACCGCTTCAGCGTAGCTCCGCGTCCCACCAACAACACTGCTTCAGCCTAGCTCCGCGTCCCACCAACAACACCGCTTCAGCCTAGCTCCGCGTCCCACCAACAGCACCGCTTCAGGTTAGCTCCGCGTACCACCAAAAACACCGCTTAAGCTTGGCTCCGCGTCCCACCAACAACACCGCTTCAGCGTAGCTCCGCGTCCCACCAACAACACTGCTTCAGCCTAGCTCCGCGTCCCACCAACAACACCGCTTCAGCCTAGCTCCGCGTCCTACCAACAACACCGCTTAAGCCTAGCTCCGCGTCACACCAACGACACCGCATCAGCCTAGCTCTGCGTCCCCTCCAACAACCACACGCGCGCGGCTTCTCCTTTATTTTCTTTTTTCCTTCCCCCAAGGTCGTGTCCTCGGCGCTCGCGTATCCCACTCAAAACGGAAGCACACACACAAAAAACCACACACACACAACAACCCGTTGAAATCTGTGACAGGCAGGATGACGACGGGTAGGGTAGCGAACGGCGTCATAACCTCACTTTATTTTTATTATTTTTGAAAACTCCGAGTAATGTATTTCTACATTTACAAGTTCTTGCTTAGCGCACTTCCGTCTAGGCTTTTCACTGCTGACAAAAACATAAAATAAATAAAATACTTAGACGAGTTTTTTTTTAATGGAACTCTTCCAGTTAAACTTGAACCAGTTTGCGGACGCACTTATCTCGGCGGCATCGCAGCACTATCATTCCTTGAATACTCACCAGGCGGTGGTTTTGTTGTTGAGGTTGGCACTGGTGTTGACGGACGAGCCAAGGAGAGAGGAACGCCGGCTGAACCGCTCACAGGTTGTTGGGTAGCGGAGCTTTCGTCCTCTCCACCTAAGGCAAATCAATAAACTTGATAAACAAAGGAAATGACCAACCGAACACAAGCGATGCTCCTAACGGTATTGTGCATTCTAAATTGTGACCTCGTTTTAATGGCCACTAAAGCATGAGCTCGTGCGCATCTATCCATGGCGGCTCTGCAGCTATATTTGGATAAATATTTTTTGTAATTATGATGAAATAACCTAGACTTCTCTGCGATAAACGCAGTGTCGCGTGGCAGGATGATCGGACATAAAGTATCACCACACGACATGTGACAGGGACGCTCCGTAACATTATGCACAGCAATTTTATGGCACATACGTTACGTCACTTGCACCACACCTTTTACACGTGACGTAACGCTAAAGTGCATTACATGACGTGACGTTTTAAGTTTCAATATTGACGTCATGTGCCACTACGTCACATGGCATAACCTGAATGGCTCCACAACGTAACACTAGTAAGTAATGTGATAGTGAGTCGCATCACTCAGCATGACGTGACGCTGTGAGATTAATTGAAATACGCTGTGATTGGTCGAAACTAGGCGGAGGACGAGCACACATCGCAATATTAAGGGCCCCCGAACAGACGTTTGAAGTGGGGCAGACGAAGGATCCCAAACAACTAACCCATTAGGATCATTCGTCAGCGACCGTCAATATAGCACCGTGTTCCAGCGGGAAAAAGCCCGCCACATTATGGCCACAAAACCAGTTTTTTGTGGACGGCTCTCCAAAGCCTTAAGTGGTGGAAAACAAATACGCCATCTGTGTTACGTACTTATTTATGACTTTATTTGTTCACGTTTCGTCCTTTGAAAGCACGGCGAACTTTACTCTATTAGCCGTCAAGAGGTCATCAAACAATATCGGGTTGGAATGTTCGTGATTTTACAGAGGCCTGCTGGTCCTAGCCTGGCCCAAGTATACTCGCACGGGCCGCCACTGATTCAGAAGCGTTTTGGTCGCGGTGAAACTGCGAGAATAAGAGACTATTTTTTTCAGCCGTTCCTCCGCAAGGTTTCATGACATAATTGTGGGAACGAAACTACCCGCCTGACGACAGTCGAGCGCGGCTCATGAATTAGACACGAGAACTGCGTGAGAACTCGACTTTGGCTCACACAAATCAAGGCTTCAGCGGACACTCGGGTTTTGACTCGTGTCCATCCACTGCTGTGATGAGAAGAGCCGAACTATAACAATGCCTCGAGATCAGCACGCGTTATCCAATATGCCGACCCCAGGGGGTGGCTATGATTAACGTTGGCGGCATAGGATAGGCATCAGAGCACGTGGCTGCTGGTTTTGGTCTACAAGTTAAGGGGATGAAGAATGCTCATATTTCTCGAGTTTATTTGCCGACTGCCATTGCTTAGAAAGAAAAACTAAGGCAAGATTATTCGGTTATTAACGTTAGGGAGTGATTCTCAGTAGTATTTAGCGAAAGTAAAAAAAATCGTTTCATGGTCCCTTTAAGATGAGACTGCACTGAAGAGCGATCTCACCAAGCGTTCAGCGCATGCGTGGCGCCGCCATAACTTTAGTTCACAGGAGGCAAACGGCAATGAACGAGAGGCCTCGTGCTCTCTCGTGCTCCACGCGCGCAGAGCTCCAGCGAGGTTGTGGCACGTGCCACAACCTCGCTGGAACGACATTCCGAAGATGGTGCTTGCCGTTGATGGCTTAAGAGGCTGCATTCTCGCGTTCCTAGATAGAGAAGACGCTTCGTTGCTAAGGTGATGCTTGTAGTGTTTGAGGGGCTATACTGCATTAGGATATATGCGCAGGAAGGCTTACGGTACGACGACGATGGCGTGGAGGGCAGCGGCGGCCCGCGGCCAAGCGGACACGCCGAAGGAAAAAGGACACGTCCAGCCCCGACGAACGCTGCTACACTTCTCTTTATTCACGCGCACAAGGGCGATTAAAGGAAAAGGGACACCCTGGTGGCGATTCATAAACTCAATTACAACATTTCTTCCTTCATAAAATAAAGCAAAAGGAGAGCAAAAAGAAACGAAATCTATCAGGCTACGAAAGATATTTACAACATATCATTTTCTTCCTTCCGTAAAATAAAAAAAAGAGAGAACATGAAGAACGAAATAAATCTGGGAACCAAAACTATTTACAACACATCCTATCCCGCCACGTTTCATCATGAGCACACAGGGCACAAAAATTCATTCAGCACACACATAATCGCAGACATAGAATCGATTCGCCCAACCAGGGGGAGCTTCGAAATTGCGACGGTAGCGCCACCGCAGTACAACACATGGTCGTGTTGCGCCGGTCGTGCTCGTAGCGTTGCTTTGGCGTCGCAGGTATTTCGAGCGTACGGTGAAAATTTTGAGAAGGATAGAAAGCGTGCGAGAAATGTTTCTCATGGTGAGTCAAGAAACGATAGAAAAGCTTCAATAACACGCATCTTCCACCGAGAAAGCGGTTGATTTCCCCGCCAACGAGTCGGGTCCGCATCGCAAGTACGGCCGTGCTGGCCGTGCGGCGTCTACGAGATAACTTTACAGGTGAGCGGCACTTGTTTAAATTTTGCGCTGTAATAACATTGTGCCTTAAAGATTACTGATCACAATGAACCACTGTTCTCGTGAGTCCTGTTAGACGACGTCGGGATACTATTTTTCGGTCGCTGAACCACCGGCAGACTACGTTCTCGCACTAGAGGCTACGAGTGGGATAGCTTTTCGGGCTCGCCCACGTCGAAGAAATATTAACGTGTCGGGGATCGTGCGGGCATAGGGTGATAATTCCGGGAAGAGATAAGTCCCTCGCGTACAGTTGAGACTGCAGGTCCTCGCTGGGCTGGAGTCGCGGACCGGTGCGAGCATTGTGCCGACGCTCGTAATTTTATTAGTATTGTTGAACACGCGTCCTCATCAGCCTGCCTCAGCAGTAGGGAACTAAAACGCCAGGGCACGACCTGAACAAAGGCCTCGTAGATTTATTACCAGGTTTTCTTGTCCCACTTCACTGAGGCAGTAGGTTGCAGTTACTGGGGACCTGCTCCTGCTGATTAATGGTACTTTTTCTGCGAGTTTGAACAATAATGTGCCGCGAGATTCTGTTAGAAAGGGGGGCAAAACAGTTGAAAACGAAAAGAGGCTAGCCTAGACTAAATCTCCAGCATAAATGTCTGCTATGCATATGACTGCACATAATTTTAGTCGAATTTTCATGACAATGTTCAGTTGGATGGATTTATAAAAAAAACTTAATTTCTCTTTCAGGTTCAAGTTGTCCAGTCCACATGCAAGATTTTCAAATATTGGGTGGGGGCTTGATTCATACTTTACTGTGTGGGACATTTTAGGAGGAAAATGTTGTGTAGCAAAGAAAACACCAGTGACACATGATAGGTTGTCATTAGTAGAACAATTTTTATTTTCTGGAAAAATAATCCATGCCTGTCAGTGTTTCATTGCTGCTTCACTGAATAAAGTTTCTTTTGTGGCATGTTGGCATGTTTTCAAGCGTTTCCAGGAATGTACCGTATTTTCCGGGCTATGCTTTTAAAAATGAAAATTTTAGGCTGTGCGGACTATGCGGGATTTTTGTTTTTCAATATCGTTGGATTATGACGAGACGGATTTTGTGAATGAAAGGGTATGTTAATGATAATTTATGTAAAATACCAGCTTCTTTTTGCGCTAAGAAAGCAGACATTTCTCAAGGTGTGCTGTCTATGAGATGATATTCGTGACAACTAAGCACCAGGTGCAGACGATGCACTGTATGTGTACAATGTAAGCAAAATCTTTTTTTTACCCCAAATTTGCCCCTGTGGACTATAGTCTGAAAAATATGGTACAGCAGCATAATGCATCACTTTCAGAAATGTTTTGTTGACAGTGAAAACGATTTTTATTGAGTTTTGTCACAACCACGAGTAGGTAAACACACAACCTTGGGACAATATAAAAATTCTTCTCGTGCTCTTAACACGGTGACATTGGCGCAGACTCGAAGTATGGCTGGCAGGACACTTGCAGATGATGTACACATCTCGAGAAGCAAGGACTGTCCAAGAAATTGTAGGGCCGAGAACCCCGACTATTTCAGAGATCTTGCACGGCAGATCAGCTGTTCAAGATATTCCAGATCTCACGAAAGATGTCTCCCAGTTCGTGAGAAAGCAGTAGTCATCTAAGCTTATCCATCTTTAGCCAAGCTATATTGAATCTTGGGGTACAGACTAAACCAAAACGTGCAACTCGAAGACGAAAGAGACTACAGAAGTTGCCAATGAACTAACAATACTTTTAACTGGCTAAGAACCGGGCACACATAGATAATGCAACATAGATGAGGAAAGGTCACCTGCATCTTCGAGCGAGGGAGTGAAAATTAATTTAAATTAACTAAGAATCTTTCACGAGCAATTACAGGGTTGGTAGGTTTCCTGCAATTAGTCTTTATTAAACACCTCAGCTGGCATCTCGTCTAGTGACTTGTTGCAGGATGAGCCTCATCGTTGTCCTTGCAGGTGTTCACGAAGTGCACGCTGCAGATCCTCGCTGACGTTGGCGGAATCAAAACTGAACCGCCCCCACTGAAAAATAAGTCAATAATATAAGATCTCTGGTGTGATCAGCAGAAAATCGACACGAAATAATAGAAACTGTTATTGTAAATTATTATGATTACGATTATGTAAACATAATCAGGCTTTCTTTTTATTTTAAAAAGGAAAGGGGGGGGGGGGCTGGCTGGTTGAGGCTGTTTGGAAGTGCATTCCTTGTGTGTGTTGTTTGGGAGGGGGGGGGGATGCATGTGTATATTATAGCGTCGTACATGATGGCCATAAACAGCTAAAAAAAACGGGAACAGCGATTAAGAAACACACACGGCAGAAGAAAGCTGCAATCGCAACCCCCAAAAGCCCCTCCCCTAGCTAGAAGTGTTCTGACAAAGTCAGAACGGCAGGCAGGGCGTCTCTTGTGAACGGCCGATCTCCAGCACGTCTTCGTTGCCCTTCGTTGCGATGTGGCTGCACGTGAACGCGCGACGGTCGCGAGATAGAAACCCTGTCGACGGTTGGAAGCTAGTGCTGGAGGAACTGAAGCTTCTCCCTGCCGTTCTCACCCTGCCAGTGATTGTAGTTGAAATATTCGTGCCAAAGGGATCCAACATCGCGACCGAAGCCCCGTCAAACACCTCGAGGGAAGCGACAGACGCGCACAAAAATCAGATATTCCGTCACGCAGGCACTGCCAACTGACTTTCCCGCGTTCGGTAGTGATTCTGCTTCTATTCTGACACCAATTCTATTTAGTTTTTCCCGCGTATTTAGCAAAACTGATCTTCCAACGAACGAGAAACTTACTTTTGTCGGAGCACCGACGTGGTCCAGGCTTGGCGCCGTTCGAGTCTCGCACGGCTTTTCAGGGAAGCGGTAGAATTTTAAGGATCGACTACAACAACATCGGAGATGGTTGCTGCGATCAACGACGAAATATTCGTGCTAGCCGGGCTTTTATATCGTCTCTATCGCAATGAATGTTATGTCCGACCGCCTACGACGGAGAAGCGAGGCGAAAACCAACGAGCCACTCGGACTCGGGCGTCCCGCCAGGGGCTGGAATGGCGCTGTAGTCGGCGGCGAAACTTGAGCGCTTCGGTCCTATAGTCGTCGAGCCAAGCTGGTCGTTGCTTGGGTCGCTGCGGTCGGGCTGTGGGACGTGAAGCTGGATAGTCATTCATCAGCCCACCAAGAGGAATGAAAGAAGGTTGCTCCTGTTCGATATTGTCATGATCCGGAGTTGGTGAAGCAGATCTGGCAGAGGTTGATGCTTCGCTGTACTCGGTAGTTCCGCTCACTTCCGGTGACGACTTTGCGGGGGAGGACTGGTCCAGATGGCTTGGTCTAGGGGAACTTCGCTCTGATTCTACAGAATGTAGACCAGGCGGAGGAGGAGCACTGGCGGACGCTTCACGACCAATCACGGAGGGTGGTTCAGTGCCGAAGACACCAGGAGGTGGAGGAATTCGTGAAAAGCTGACGGGAGGAACGGCAGGGATGGGCTGAAGAGGTGCACAAGGAAACAAAGCTTCATCAGCCGCCCAGGATGATCTGTGTGATCTGTGTGAGTACGTAGGTTTGAGAGGTGTACGAGTAAATTTGTCGGCATTCCATGTTGTACCATCATCAAGTGTATATGTAGAAGGTCCAATTTTCGCAGAAATCATCTGTGGTTCAGAATACTTGTGCTGAAATTTACCATGGTGTCTTGGCTTATGGACCTTTACATACTGTCCTGTTTTAAAAGATGGCACTTTCACTGCTCGCCTTGAGTCCGAGTACTTTGTCATCTTTGCTTGGTACGCCTGTACCCTTTCCGGCAGGTCGTGCTGGACAATGTGCCGAGGCAGAGGTGGATCCGGAGTTGCTCGTCCTTGGATGTGTAGGCGAGTCCGATGATTTCTTGCATGCAGCAGAAACGCCGGGGTTTCACCTGTGGCCGCATGCCGAGTGCTTCGATAAACTCCAAGGTATTCAGTGATGGCCTCTCGAAGCGGACGGCGTTGCACCATTGCCAACTGGATGACGGACTTTAGGACTCTATTGAATCTTTCAACTTGCCCATTACCTTGAGGGTGATAAAGGGAAGATTTTACGTGTTTTATGCCATTTGTCTGTAGGAACTGGTTGAACTCATGGGATGTGAATTGTGGACCGTTATCTGTTGTTATCTCGAGAGGCAGGCCCTCTCGAGAAAAAATCGATTTCAAAAAGTCAACGACTGACGCTGTCGTGACGTTGTGGGACGAAGCCACTTCCGGCCACTTGCTGTGGTAGTCCACCAAAGTAATGAAGTAACGTTCTTTTGGTGGGGCTTGCTCAAACGGCCCAACGATGTCGATGGCAAGCTTGGTCCACGAACGGGAAGGAAATGCTACCGGCTGTAGGGGCGCCGGGGAAGCCTTAGCGGGCTTGTCGGTGGAGTGACAAACAGTGCAATGCTGGATTACGTTCTTGATGTTTTCTGCGATATGTGGCCACCAATAAAGTTCCTTTATAAAACTCGTCGTCCTCGATATTCCTTGATGGGTCTCATGGCCGATCTGGATAACCTTGTGGCGCAGACTCGGCGGCACGATGATCTTCTCCCCTTGGAAAAGGAGTCCGTCGACCACGGAAAGCTGATCTCTAAGAACGAAATATGACCTGAGTTCTGGAGATAGCTTGCCTTCCTCTGGCCATGATGATGAAGTATATTTCATGACTTCACGCAACGCAGGGTCTCGTGAAGTTGCCTCCTGGAAATCCTTCTCTGTGAGGGAAGCGCAGACGATGGAAACAATTTCTTCTCTAAAAGTCGTACCATCTTCAGTATCGTGAACTGGAAGGCGAGAAAGGGCATCAGCAACGACATTGTCGGTTCCTTTGCGGTACTCCTTTACAAAGTTGTAATTGAAGAGCCTGGCAACCCAGCGGCTGATGCGCAATGGGCGAACGCCAGCTCCTTGCGTAGACATCAGGGTGACCAATGCTTGGTGGTCGGTCCGGATGGTAAACTGTCGACCCCAGAGGTAGATGTGCCATTTCTCGCAGGCCCAGAGGATTGCGAGAGCCTCTTTCTCCCCAGTTGAGTATTTTCGCTCTGCTTCCGTGAGAGAACGGGAGGCGAAAGCAACAGTCCTCAGCTGGGATCCATGCTGTTGCTGTAGAACAGCTCCCAGCCCGTAGTTTGAGGCGTCCGTGGACACAACAACTGGGAGGCAAGGGTCGAACATAGTCAAAATGGGTGCCTGCTGAATGCAGGCCTTGATCTGCTGGAAACTGGTGTCGGCTTCGGACGACCAGACGAAAGTCACACCCTTGCGTAGAAGACGACGAAGGGGCTCCACAATGGTGGCACAGTGCTGGATAAACTTACTGTAATATTCGACAAGGCCCAAGAATGCCTTCAACTGAGAAGGGTCACATGGCGCCGGAAAATTCAGAACGACGTCTATCTTTGACGGAAGGGGCGCTAAGCCTCCCGCCGACAGACGATGTCCGAGAAAAGTAAGCTCTTGGACACTAAAAACGGCCTTCTTATTGAGTTTCATTCCAGCTTGGGAAATTTTCTGGAGCACAGTATGCAAATTTTCATCGTTTTCTTGCTGAGACGAACCGTACACAATGACGTCGTCCAAGTAAAACTGTACGCCCTTGCAGTCTTTAAGGATATTAGACATGATCTTCTGGAACGCTGCAGGCGCGGAAGCCAGGCCAAAACAAACTCGTGTGAAACGAAAAAGGCCTTCATGAGTGATGAACGTTGTAAGGTCACGGCTTTTAGGATCAAGCCGGACCTGATAGTATGCTGATGCGAGATCCAACTTGGAAAAATGGGATGCTCCACTTAAGGAGTTCAACAGCTCGTCAATGTGTGGGAGCGGAAAAGAGTCGACAACGATGGCCTTATTCGGCGCTCGGAGATCCACACACATACGGATGCCGCCCTCTTTCTTCTTAACAACCACGATGGGCGAAACCCACTCCGAAGCACTCACGCGCTCGATAACTCCCTGCTGCTCGAGCTTCAGGATCTCCGCCGTTACTACGTCACGCAGGGTGATCGGCAGTCGACGGAGCTTGGCTTGAACTGGCGGCACATTTCGACGGACGGTGATCGTATGGGTTTGGTTTTTTACCAGACCTAGACCAGGTGAAAGGAGATCTTCGAAATGTTTGAAGCCAGCAGGAAGCTTGGAAACGTCCCTCGACGTAGCTGTGCTTGGTGTCCTCGGTGGAGATACACCTGGCACAGATGGCTCATGTGGGATACTTGAAAAACGATTTAGAGGACTGGGCATGTTCAATGGATCTGAAGATACTTTCGAAGGTCTCTGAGACTCGTCTGAAGAACCTGATGGACTGGGACTCGTTGGCTGTGAAACACCAGCCGGTGTCACATGTCCCGGGATGGTTGAACGGGAGCCATCTGTATGAACGATACGACACGCCAGAGACGCGCCCGAAAGGATAAGTTTCAGATCGCGCACGGCATCGGTGCCAAGGAGCGATCGGCCGTCACGAACAACATAAAAAAGAATAGTCGCCGACCGATCCTGAAATTTGACAAGTCCGTAAAAACAACCCAGAACGGGGATCTGCCCTCGCAGATAATGGACGAGGGTCCGTGGCGGTTTTCTTAACTGTAGTTCTTTAGAGGTCGTGAGCCGTGAAAACGTCGCTTCAGAGAGAATTGAGACTTCGGACCCAGTGTCAATCAGAAGGGACATGGGAAAATTGTTCACCTCCACGTCGACTACGAAGTTGAGGCTACGGTGACGGTCATGCTGCGAAGGACTTCTGGCCGGTCTAACGGTGTAGACAGTGGACAGGATCTCCTCCTCCTCGTCCTCCTCGGGGAAGGTCACGATGCCATGGATGGGGGCCCGCGCTCGGTTGCCTCCGTTTGGCGGAAGTCGGCGACCGGATCCTCGGCCGCGCCCAGCGGGAAAGGCCAGCTGGCGCCGATCGCAGGCGGATGGAGGTGGACGACTCCGACACACGTTGGCGAAGTGTCCGGCTTTGCCACATGAAAAACACGTAGCCCCCGACGCGTGGCATCGGTCCCGAGGGTGGGGTTGACGGCCACAAAAGTCGCATAATGGTGCACCGTAACGGAAAGCACGCGCTCCCGGAGGGGCGTCACGTGCTGGTCGTCGCTCGCAAACACAAGCCGATGGGCGCGGTTGGTGGCGCGGAGATAAATTGAAACCTTCAGCTCGGGATGAGGAGGCAACGAATTGCTGGCGCTCGCCGTCTTGGACACGGCCTGATGACGGTGACGGTCGAGCGGCGTTGTTTTGCGTCCGCGGCGCGAAGACCCGCTCAACACAAGACTGTACTTGCGAGTTTAAATTTGTTGATAGCTGGCGGTACTGATCGCAATCGCGAGAGGACTGCTCGAACTGCTGAGCAAGGAGTACAGCACGTTCGAGGCTTGGTGGCTGAGCCCCCGCAGCCTCTCGGATTAAGCGATCTTGTACCTCTGATGATCGTAGTCCAGCCAGAAAAATCTCGGCGATGCGATCTTCTAAAGTCGCTCCGAAATTGCAAAAGGAGCCCAGGTGACGCAAAGCACCAAGGAATTCCAATACGCTTTCTCCTGGGGCCTGAACCCGAGTTAAGAATTTCTTGCGTTCGAGAACTACGTTGGTAGTAAAGCCGAAGTGTCGATCTAATGACTGGAGCAGTACGTCGAATTCAGTAAGCTCGGCGCTAACGGCAGCTCCTGCTAGGTTGAAGGTGGACACGATCCGTTGACCCTCCTGGCCAAGCATTCCAATTAGCAGGGCCCGTTTCCGTCTCGGGGTGAATGCGTCGGCATCGATAGCATCTAAGTGGTTTAAAAAAATTAATTTCCACATCGCCCAGGGTAGCGCGGGGGCACCCGGTATTGGCATGAATGGCGGGGGAGCTGTGCTCGCGAACGCCGACATCTTGAAATCTGTCGAGGTAGCTCGATCTCAGTTATTCCAGTTATCCTCGTCGCCAGAATGTAGTGTTTGAGGGGCTATACTGCATTAGGATATATGCGCAGGAAGGCTTACGGTACGACGACGATGGCGTGGAGGGCAGCGGCGGCCCGCGGCCAAGCGGACACGCCGAAGGAAAAAGGACACGTCCAGCCCCGACGAACGCTGCTACACTTCTCTTTATTCACGCGCACAAGGGCGATTAAAGGAAAAGGGACACCCTGATGGCGATTCATAAACTCAATTACAACAATGCTAACTACAGACGGCGGACTCTTTACAGTGCCGAAAAACACTGTGGGTTGGCAAGACCACTTGATTACTTGGTCCCTTTGGCGGTGATTTTTACAACGAATCTGTATATAATTCGTTTGTCAGGTTTTTTCGTGTCCGTCGACAGAACAGTAGTCGACAAAAAATTGTCGCACGAACCTTACCGTCGTTCGCGCGTGCCTTATCCTATATCCTGTGGTTTTGACAATGATTTCAGTGATAAACGTACGCAGTCTTCGTAAAGGGGCCACACACGTAAATGTATTTTCCACGAAGATTGGGTGGTCCGCTGTAAGTGCAAAATAAATATACCTGTGTTGAACGTCTGAACATGTTCACTCTGCGCTCTTTCTGTCCTTTATCTGAAACTCTTTCGTAAGAACAGTTGTAAAAAATGATTGCTTGTTTTAGTAAGTAAAAACATTTTAGCGATAGACTGAGTATGAAAAAAGGAGACAATCTGGTGAGAATTCTAAATAATTTGAATGTCGTCTTATTCATGTACAAGGAGTCTGCTACGCATGTCGGTCTATCATTTTCTTGGGCTTTTGAAGCGATGTCATGGATGTTTGTCAACATATAAATTCCTTGCCGTTTTGCTTCTGTGCAAACTTTAGGGCCGTCTTCTCTAAATTTGATGATAGACTGAGATGCCTAGCAGACTGCGTGGACGTAATATTGAGAGCAGGCCCCCCGGGCGAAAGGAAATTGAAACTACCTCGTATTGTTGATCATTTCCGAGAAAACAATTTAAACCTGCTGATCTCAAACAAGAAAGGAGATTTTGTTGTGGGCTCTATAGAAGTCCACCTTAATAAAACTCTGTTTGCCATAAACAATAATTTTTACTGCTTGGAAGGGTTTAAACCCATAGTGATAAAGGCAAATGCTCTCCAACTTTGCAATAGATTGGACTTAACTAAAAAAAAAACAGATTACCGCAGAAAAATGTGTTTAATTAAAAATGTTTTTTTATTATTTTTTTTTACGGCAAAAATCCACAAGGAAAGTTTCCCATTTCGAGTGGTCGTAACAGAAAAAGGATCATGGCAGGGAGATATGTTTCGCTTCCTTCTACTCCACATGAAAAACCTTGAATCGACCCATCCCTTTTTTATTTCAAACTCACAGACACTGATAGAACACCTTAAACAAAATGGCAAGGCAGTGAGGATTGGGTTTTCTCTTGACGTGGAAGACGTGTTTTACGCAGTCACATACAAAGAAATGTTTGCGGTCGCCAGTGCATGCGTTGAGAACCATGGAACTGTGCCCTTTCAAAATCAGTGTGGTATTTCCTTGGAGTCACTTCTGGAGCTTCTGAAGTTCTACCTTACCTCCATCGCAGAACGTTCAACAACAACGCATTTATCCAAAATAAAGGAATATGAATAGGCTCATGCGTAGCACCCATTGTGTGAAACATCTTAACCCAATGTGACAAGAACATAGTCCAGAGGCTTCCAGCAAGCTAGGTATCACGTGTGTTCAAATATGTTGATGACTATCTTGTCCTGCTGCATAAACCACCTGAACAGAACGACTCAACCGTAAACGAAATTTGCACCATGTTCCTTCCTCAATCTCAGGGACTGAAGTTTACCAAGGAACTACCAGATGGACAACAGGCTTCAATTCCAAGATCTTCAGTTCTCCTTTGAAGACAATCATACCAATCATACATGTTGGACCAACAAACCACGGTCCAAAAAATCACTTCTTTCATTTGATTCGGTGCATTTTAATACAACCTAGAGAGGAATTGTAAAGAGCTGCCTCATAGCAGCAGCGCGGTAATAAATCACGTAAGCACACAGCCAAGCAGAGTTTCGAGGCACAAGTTCAAAACCTGCATGAATCTGGATATACCAGTTCTTTAATGTTCAATGTATCAGAGAGCCTGACCACTCATAATCGAAGAAGAAGAAGAGATAACACACGCCGACCGGCAGTAATACCCTACCAGCACAAAGTCTCACACAACTTGAAATGAATAGCATACAGGTTGTAACATCAGCTCCTGGAAAACTGTAAATACTATGTCCGAAAATCAACTCCCAGTACGAACGGCAAGAAAAATTCTCAGTCCAGCACGCACATAGATATGTCCACTGCAACGTCGACATCCTGTACGAAGTTCCGTGCACATATTACAGAGTGTACGTTGGTCAATCTCGGCGCTGCGTAAATGCACGACTACGAGAGCATGATCTTTCCCCACATTAGGCACCTCAGTACACCTAGCAATACATTTCAGAGACAGTAAATACAGTCCTTTATTTAATGAGGCAAAAGTCCTGAAGCGCTTTCGGAGCAAGTGAGCCAGAGAAATTTTTGAGGCAAAAGGTATAATAGAAAAAGGAAATACAGGCATTGGCACCCCACCAATATCACTGTCCGAGAAAGAGATAGGGTAGCTCAACCTTTTTTCTTAATCTGGCTGCTTTTCGTTTTCTATCGGTCTCATTTTTCAATTTAATTTTGTTAATTGTTTTTATCAAATAATATTGAAAATATTTTTCGTGCGAATTTAATTAGCATTTAAATTTAGTATTCCTCCTCTCATTTTTGTCGTTCTCTTATCATGCATTACACAATCAGTTGATGGCAAGCCCTTGTTTTGTTCATATCTTTCTTCTGTGCTTGGCCTTCGCGCTTTTGTAGTTAAGATATTTTTTTCACACATTTACCTTTTACAAGTACTTGCATAATCTTTCGTGTGGAATCGTAGCTTCGTCTGACGGGGCACTTGCTGCTTTTTTTGTTGTATTTCGGTTCTGTTAGATCAATTTGGACACAAAGAAGTTCCCGGTGAATGCAAACAGTTATAAGCCGAAACATCATGAGCCCCTTCCTAATCCCTTGTGGATTCACTTTCGCCCCGCAAAACAGTTACAAGGTCGCCTGCTGCGGAGTCCCACATCCAACAAAGTCCTGCAATTTGTGCGCTCAGAAACCGTTGTACTTGGACCTCCATCGTGCATACGGTGTCTGCCGAGCTGCAGGTAAAAGCGTTCTTTGCTTCACCGAGAGGGAAAGCTTGTGACGGCCACATTTTGTGATGAGGCGTTTATGTGCGACGCCTTGACATCTGCCAGCGGCGTTTCACAGTTCTTCTTTTAATTGATACTAACGACGTAACCTCACAATACTCGAGAAGCTTTCCAGTTTTTGAATTACTCGTTC